CGAATATACGAGGGGCCGGACGATAATTCGTGGTCATCTCTTTCTTTTCTTCCTTTGACCGAAATGACGTTGCGTATGCTTGCATTAATTTTAATTTGTCGGTCAATTATTCAGGACTGTATACAGGGAAATATTTGAATACTGGACAATCGAAGTTGTACGCGAAGGAGGAAAAAAATTTCGATCAAGGTGAAGCAAATTTTCCTTTTGAGACTCAATGTTTTGAAATAATTTGTCTCTTATATTGAAGCGCCCAGCGTAAGCTTTCTATCGGATCGACATTATAGAACCTTTTTATTTGTTGATTGATCGTTAGTTTTGGTAATAATGATTAATTCAAGAAAATCGAAATTATGACCGACGAGGAAAAAGTATGTCATCAAAATGAATACGTTAGTTTTCATTTTGAGATTCGCGGTGCTTCCAGCAAATGCTTTCATTAAGAATTCACGAAGAATCCGTAAAATTTTATTTTTCTTTACACAAAAATTACATTAAAACTGATACTACAGTTCTTTGTCAATTATTGAATGTTGCGTGAAAAGGGGGCGATATTAGGAAAATTGAATTCGTGCTTCAGGAGATTTTTATTTTTCATGAAGGTGAAGCATTCATAAATTTTATCTGAAAAATGCCTGGACCAATTCTCTATGTACTAAAAATATTCAAAAATTGTGTTTTATCATTTCTCTCCTCTCGACAAGAATGACAGTGGAGATCAAATGCTCTCATTTTTCACCAGCTGCGTGATTATTCAAATACTGAAAAGAAGCGTTCCAAAAAACGAAGTTATTATATTGAAGCAGAAAAAAACGTGTGTGAACCTGATCAAAATGTTTTTATTGAATGTTTTGAATGTGACATTCTCTAAATCCATCAATTTGAGAACTTATGGAGTGACCGCGAAGTTCTCTTGAATTCCAAGAAACTCACTGTGGCAATACGATAGAAACGCCGTTGTTGTGTTTTCCGCTGTGTGATCACAGGTCACATTTTTTTCTTCTATCGACTTGCTATTTTTTATTAATTTATCTAATTTTATTTGTTTCGGTCTAGCCTTGAGTCCAAAAATTCGGTGTGCTTTAAGCAGCAAAACCTGGCTATTTACTCATGACGAATAACTGTGTACTGTATGTAGCAGTTATGATAAATTATGTTTATTCTAATACCCGCATTTGGGTTGAGTGTTTGATTTTGTATGAGTGTGAGAGGAAATTGTCATCGAACTTTCTGTTTTTTTTTCTTTACCATATATAGGAACTTCAGATTATGGATATATACAGTAGTTTTGGATTTTTTCAATGGCGATTACAATTTTGAGAGCAAGGCGAAATTTGAAAGTTATAATTCGAAATACTGTATGGGTTATAGCGCTTGGGCCTCTCATTGTTGGATTCTTTTTCAAAGGATGTTGGATGCATGACAAGGGTGATTTTACAGAGTAACTCAGTGTTGTGTCATTTTCTGACTTGTTTCATTGATTTTTTGCTCATGAGGGATGCAATGAAGTTCAATCAGAGAGGGATTTGAAAATTCCCCCCTCATCTGTTGTTACTTGAGAAAATTGGGGTTTAAACCTGCCACGCGTGAAAATTTGATAATTTTGCTGCTGATCATCCAGACAGCAAGCAAAAAATATATACTTTTTAAACGTTGCATCAAAATATTTAGCGCAAGAAAATTGCCTATTGTCTTACTCATAGGTGCATGCTGGTACTCAACTAAATGAAGTAATTGGAAGATTTCGAGGACTGCATGAAATTCTGTTATTATTTTTTTTAGTGAAATCTGAAAAATGATCACTTCTGTTTTTTGCGTGAACTTTTTTTTGAAAACTGAACTCCATCTCATGGGGATTTATTTTCATTCAAAAACTTCTTTTTCTTTTTGTTCATATTTGTCATTGCAGTGTTTGCAGCATTTGGATCTGTCGTCACTTCACCACCTGAGCCCTCAGTTGTTGATTGAGTCGATTCAGTGTTTTCCTGAGCTGATCACACTAAATTTGAGCAAGACCTCTGCGGTCAATCAGGTAAGTCTATCCAATTTTTTGGTGCTACAATTTCGAGTACTATAGTTTCAAACCGAGCTTCTTGTTCGCCCGTTTTTGCACGGTACCATCATATCTGAGAATTTTCTAAACTCAAGGTTCTTACTTAGTTGTTGGTGAACTATTATTCTTCATCCCGCCATCAAAATAACCACATTACTGCCAGTGCTTCACTTATCTTTTCAGGTTTGTGCGACGGTGGGGAAATATTGTCCGAATATCGTAGACCTGGACATAAGTTATTCGGAAATAACGGATAAAGGGGTTCTCGACTTGGTGCATCTGCAATGCGGAAGACAGGCCCAGCGAATGCACAGACTCAACGTTCTGGGCCTCAAATTGAACCACGGCACTGTGACATTCATTTTGCAAAACCTGCCGAACCTCCAAGTCCTGGAAGAAGAAAATCTCTTTGCTGTGAGTACATACAACTGTTGCAGATTTTACGCTGCATTAAAAACATTCCAGATGCAAGAGACATCTGAGTGCTGAGGCAGTTACATAGCCTCCAAGGGAATTTATTTTTATAATTACAAAACTGCATTATGGCTGCAGAAAATAAGAGAAGCTGGAGCATCCTCACTCCTTGGATGTTGAAAGAGGACTCTGTTATTGTCTCTGATCACAGGTTTCATGAAGACAACAATCACACACACAATCAGTAAATACAATCTTGAATTGTGCAATAAAAAATTGCTTTCAAAAAGAAATAAAATCAGCAAAGAAAATATGCTTTGCCTATGGCGCAATTCCCAATGCGCGAACTTCCAAAGCAAATAACTCCTCAAATTTTACAGATAAAAAATTCCACGACATTTTAAATTGAAGATAAAGATGTTCTTCAAGTTTTCTTATATCATATACAAATTGACTCCATTACCAGATCTTGAGATATTCTGACTTTTCTAAACCTAACTTTTCTTTGGTGATAAGAATCTGGAAAACCTTCATGCCAGATTCTTATCTCACTGATGCACAAGCTTTTGGAGCAAACAGTGACTTCAATAGCCTTGTTTCTAAATGTAGATGAATGAATTTATTTCTGCAACATATAACACATTACTAAGCATATTTTTTGGTCTCTGTTCACACAGGTATTTTTTTAAAGATAGAAAGAAATGTGAAACATGCTGTCCGCAAAAAAAGTTTTCTAGTGATTCCCTGAACAACAATTTTCTCGACCATGATAAAATTTTTCATTGAATTCATTTTTTATTCTCGAAAAACATGTTACTCATTCAGTGATGACTATGTTAACAGACGTTTTCTGATGTAATGAAATAATGTCTTTCATCAAAAAAGTCGGCTAACCGATTAATGTGAAGCTATGAATGGAAGGAAAATGTGTTCCTTGGTCAAAATACAAAATTTTTTAATGTTCGTCGCCATTTAAAAAAAAAATTTCCTTGTTTTCGAGTGAAAATGCTCATACTGTATTTTATATCGTGATATTTATAACTTTTCTTGCGCTTGACATGATATTTCTGGCTGTATTAATGCCTGCCAAATCATCCGATATAAAGGACCTGACAATTTTTGCACATTTTTTAGATCTTCGAATTACTGTACTGCAATTTCAACCCCCTCTCAAACCCCAACCGAGTTCCAAGGATTCTATAAAGAAGTATAATGAAAAATGTCTCAGGCAGAGTTCGAAGAGTTGTTTCATTTTATTCGAAGTATTAAAAAGCTTCAAGAACATTTAGAAATGAAAGAAATGATGTTGAAAATAATCGAGAACATAGACAAGTTTTTTAATTTAGATGACCCCAAAAAAATTAATTTTGGCACTCACACTTGCCATTGAAACTTCCAGCATATTATTTCCCAAGAATGATCATCTGTCTGAAAGTATGTTAACCGGATCCGGAATATTTTGTCCTCTATATGAAGAAAAAATAGACTACGTCAAGGAATTGTGTCTCATATGATAATGAGCGTCTGTTCTTTTAAAGCGGGGTACAATAATTAACCATTGTACAATAGCTCACAGATAAATTAGTTCATCTTCACCAAATGCCTTTCCGACGATTTTTAAAATGTTGATCCCTGATGTTCGCTGTCAACTGATTCCTTGCTTTGATCAAAGAAATGGCGCAAGAAAATCGCGTTTAACCTATATAGCTGTGATCTTCGGGAAATTATGTGCAAAATTAAAAATGAAATTTTACTTCGTGTTATATTCGTTTTATTTCTTTCAAGGCATTCAGAGGTTTGCGAGGAAAGAAGCTGAGTGTTGCAGCAAGGAAAAGCACAGCCCTGGAATATTTGCAGCCCGAACACGTCGCCTTGAAAACCCTGGTTTCTTGTGTCCAAGAACTACAGCCTATGGACATTTTAACAGCTATTCAAATATCGCCCTTGGCAACAAAAGTGAGTCGAAAATCGTTCAAAATCCCACACTAAATTATGCGACTGATTCCTAGGAAATTAATCTGCATTCGAATAAGGTTTTGATTTAGAATCGACTCGATGGTGTGACTCTATATGCAAATTAAGGTTTCTGCATGAGATACTGGCATGGAAGTTGTTGGGCATGCACACCGGGTACAATAACGTACATTGTCAGAAGTAAAGATATTCCCCCCTCCTCAAAATTGCAGTGCCAGGGACATCCTGGTACCGCATAACTATTCTTGCCTCTGACTGTGAAGTAAAACCTTGTGAAGGTTAATTAATTTCTGTCATATATAAGAGCGCATTTCTGAAGATCATCAGATCAGTTTTGGTAGCTGTGTTATTCCCAACTTATTCATTTACTCCTGCAAGTTGCAAGTTGAACTTGCTGAGTTGTTAATCAGTTGTGTTTGTTTGAAATATATCATATCCCTTTAAACTAGGAATTCCAAAACAGAATCCCGGTCCTGTCCCTGACTGAATAACGCATTTTTTTTCTATCTCAAAAAGCACTTGACATCAAATTATATTGAGGCCTTTTGTGCCCAATAGAAGTAAAGTGACCATGTCTGTTGCACATTGCAAAAATACTGATGCCAGAGAGACCATTAACTCATAACATCATTGCATAATTTCAGTTTGAAAAATTGCCTTATTTTAAAACGTTTTTATTAACTCGCTTTCTTGTCCGTTTGTTTGTCCGGATCAAATTTTGCAACTCAAATTTCGCTCACTTCCCGACTAGCTAGCAAGCTGAAACTCTCAGGATAGCTTAGAAACTGATGACAATGCAATCTTTTGTGTTGCATCAAAATATTTAGCGCAAGAAAATTGCCTATTGTCTTACTCATAGGTGCATGCTGGTACTCAACTAAATGAAGTAATTGGAAGATTTCGAGGACTGCATGAAATTCTGTTATTATTTTTTTAGTGAAATCTGAAAAATGATCACTTCTGTTTTTTGCGTGAACTTTTTTTTTGAAAACTGAACTCCATCTCATGGGGATTTATTTTCATTCAAAAACTTCTTTTTCTTTTTGTTCATATATGTCATTGCAGTGCTTGCAGCATTTGGATCTGTCGTCACTTCACCACCTGAGCCCTCAGTTGTTGATTGAGTCGATTCAGTGTTTTCCTGAGCTGATCACACTAAATTTGAGCAAGACCTCTGCGGTCAACCAAGTAAGTCTATCCAATTTTTTATTGTGTGAACATTTCGATAAAGTTTCAATCCGAGCTTCTTGTTCGCCCGTTTTTGCACGGTACCATCATATCTGAGAATTTTCTAAACTCAAGGTTCTTATACTACTTGGTGGTGAACTTTTATTCTTCATCCCGCCATCAAAATAACCACATTACTGCCAATGCTTCACTTATCTTTTCAGGTTTGTGCGACGGTGGGGAAATATTGTCCGAATATCGTAGACCTGGACATAAGTTATTCGGAAATAACGGATAAAGGGGTTCTCGACTTGGTGCATCTGCAATGCGGNAACGGATAAAGGGGTTCTCGACTTGGTGCATCTGCAATGCGGAAGACAGGCCCAGCGAATGCACAGACTCAACGTTCTGGGCCTCAAATTGAACCACGGCACTGTGACATTCATTTTGCAAAACCTGCCGAACCTCCAAGTCCTGGAAGAAGAAAATCTCTTTGCTGTGAGTACATGTAACACATTACTAGATGCATATTTTTCGGTCTCTGTTATTCACATAAGTATTTTTTCAAAGATAGAAAAACCCCGAAACATGCTGTGCGCAAAAAAGAAAAGAAAAAAGAATTACAGTGATTCTCTGAACAACAATTTCCTCAGCCATGATGAAATTTTTCATTGAATCGATTATTTCTTTCGGAAAACATGTTGCTCATTCATCAGGGATGCCTATGTTGAAAGACGTTTTCTGATGTAATGAAATAATGTCTGTCATCCAAAAAGTCAGAAATTACTGCTGTGAGTATATGTAACCCATCACTATGCATATTTTTCGGTCTCTGCTCACGCAAGTATTTTTTGTTTTCAAAGATAGAAAGACATCTGAAACATGCTGTGCGCAAAAAAAAGAGAATTATAGTGATTCCCTGAACAACAATTTTCTCGACCATGATGAAATTTGTCATGGAATTAATTTTTTATTCTCGGAAAGCATGTTACTCATTCAGTGATGACTATGTTAACAGACGTTTTCTGATGTATGAAATGTCTGTCATCCGAAAATTTGGCTAACCAAGTAATGTGAAGCTATGAATGGAAGGAAAGAGTTCCTTGTTCAAGATACACGAGATTTTTTAATGTTCGTCGCCGTGTTAAAAATGTGTTTCCTTGTTTTTGAGTGAATATGCTGATACAGTATTTTATATCGTGACATTTAAAACTTTTCTTGCGCTTGACATGATGGTATTTTTGGCTGTATTAATGCCTTCCAAATCATGCGATATAAAGCACCTGAAAATATTTAAACATTTTTGGATCTTCGAATTACAGTAATTTCAAACTCCTCTCAAATCCCAACCGACTTCCAAAGATTCTATAAAGGGGCATAATGAAAAATGTCTCAGGCTAAGTTCGAAGAGTTGTTTCATGTTATTCGAAGTATTAAAAAGCATCAAGAACATTCAGAAATGAAAGAAATGATGTTGAAAATAATCGAGAACATAGACAAGTTTTTTTTTTATTTAGACCCCAAAAAAAATTAATTTTGGCACTCACACTTGCCAATGAAACTTCTAGCATATTATTTCCCAAGAATGATCATCTGTCTGAAAGTATGTTAACCGGATCAGGAATATTTTGTCCTCTATCTGAAGAAAAAATTGACTTTGTCGACAAGGAATTGTGTCTCATATGATAATGAGCGTCTGTTTTTTTTAAAGCGGGGTGCAATAATTAACCATTATACAATAGCTCACAGATAAATTAGTTCATCTTCACCGAATGCCTTTCCAGCGATTCTTAAAATGTTGATCCCTGACGTTCGCTGTCAACGGATTCCTTGCTTTGATCAAAGAAATGGCGCAAGAAAATCGCGTTAAACCTATATAGCTGTGATCTTCGGGAAATTATGTGTAAAATTAAAAATGAAATTTTACGTCGTGTTATATTCGTTTTATTTCTTTCAAGGCATTCAGAGGTTTGCGAGGAAAGAAGCTGAGTGTTGCAGCAAGGAAAAGCACAGCCCTGGAATATTTGCAGCCCGAACACGTCGCCTTGAAAACCC